TGTATCACAAGTAAACCAGAGATGCTTGCATACATAAGGATATCAGTGTCATGATTAACAAAAAATACAGTTTTCACTCAGTTTGATCTCTTCTATATGTGAAAGTATAGAGGGAATATGAAAAGGATGGCTAGAGATAGGGAAAGCTAATAGGCTGAAGATGATCACGGAGTATTATATATTAAATGAAAATATCGTGACACCCATTACTTTTTATAATGAATCTACACTGACATACATTCAAAAAGTAACTCCATCTCAACCTTTTAAGGAGCCTATCTGATAAAGGATTGTACTGATTGTGTGTTCTAAGAATTCTATGATCATGTTTCCATTTAGGTATGGCCAACTGTTTTCATTTTCCATCACTGTGACACAACACCTGAGCTGTCTTAGAGGGTAAATACCAAATGACCATTTATTGTTTTACAGGGGTAGATGTATATTTTTGATACATTTGAATTGTGTTTTGCATTTTTCAATTTTACTCTTTTCACAAGATACTGACTGTATCCATTTATTATATGAAGTTGAAGCCATGAATATACAACAAGCATTTATTAATATATTGTTTATCTGTATTTTTCTAGCATGTTACATATATTGATGAATTCTTAGGAAAGTTTCAATGACTGCTTCCCCATAGTCTCTGCAGTGACAATTCTACTGCTGCTGCCTCACCTTAAGGGAACAGGCTTTTTAAATTTTTTGATTGAATATTAGATTAGTTTTAATTTGCATTTCTTTTGATTATTTATTTATTTTTTATTTATTTTATTTTTCCCAATCTGTTTTTATACCATTTTAATTACATGCAGGTGTTTAGGTCAGTTCTAGATTGAGGAACTAGCAATACAATAGATGCAAATAGTCAAGGAAGAAACAAGACCATAAGCACAATATTAAAAGAACAAGCAAGGCAATAAACAAAGTTCCATGATCACTCCCATGATCACTGTTTCTAAGGGTATATCAGGATGACCAAATTATCTGAGCATACTTCCCTGTCCTAGCCCAAAGTTATTTTCATGCCTGAAGCCTATTTCTTTGTTCTAGCATAAGATTTAGTTTCCTTCCTGAAATTACTTCTTTGTTCTAGCCTAAAGTCAGATTTCTGCCTGAAGCGAATTTCCTTGTCCTTGGCCAGTGACAGATTGCTGCCAACCAGACTGCTTCCTTGTCCTTGGTCCTTGTCAGATTCTTGACAAGCAGCCCCAAAAGCTCTCCACATTTCCCCACTTTTTATTTAATAAACAAGACTGAGTTTGTCTTAGGTCATTCTGACATGAGTGCCTTCCTTACTCATTGTGGAATATGCATTATTCTGTTATGCGCTTCTGTCTTAGGTTGGTAAGACTATGTGCAGAATATTAACCATCCTTGGATTGCCAGCTTGTGAAATTAATAAGGGGGTCTATTTTCAGTTTCAGGCCATGTACTTTTGCTGCCAACATGTTGATGTTGTTAAATACAAACTAACACGATGGGAAGGAATAAAGTATTCCAAAGATCAAGTTAAAAATACCATTCTTGAAGCTTGACCAAAATAGAAATACTGACCTCAGACCATGGATAATTTTATTAGCAGTATCTGCAGCATTAAAGCACAGCAGAGCAGCATTCCTAAAATTCATAATATCACTATGCAAAGTTAAATCATCCAGAGAGATGTTAGAATTATGCAAAATAACCTGCAAATGTCTTTAACCTTTTTCCTAATTATAATCACTATCATGGTAAATTTTAGAAGTAACACACATCCACTGGAATTTGGCATAACACTGAAGATGGTTCCTTACTCTTAAACTGTGAATCATTTTTGGAACTGGCTTTTAACTGAGACTATAATATTCTACTCAGCATCTGTGTGCTTCCAGTTATAACTGTGCTGAACTTAATTTCCAAATAAGAATTCATACATTTTAATTATTTTAGAGTATCAGGCAAGCACTATGAATTGCTACTTTATTAAAAACTATTAAGTATTCTTGCTGGCATTCTATATTTTATAATGATTTCATGGAACTAATTTCGATGCCACATTCTTTCTCTTTCTGAGATTTCTAAAAACATCTTCATGTTGCTGACAGTGGGCAGTACATCATCAAACAATTCCACTTGTCACAAGAAAGGCACATTCTGACTTTATGTCCTCTCTGAGCAGTCATACAGCTTTTAGGTCATTATTAACCAAATGTGGTGAAGGTTAAAATGAAAATGATACTTTTGTTTTATTATACTTGTTTGTTCTGTATAGTTCTAAATCTTCACCAACAGAATACAAAGATCACTATACATGCATAAAACAAACTGTTTTAATGTCAAATATTGTGATTAGGAAGAGGAGAAGTGAGAGTGTAGAGCTGTTATTGAAGACTCTTTCTCTGTCTCTCTTTTGCTCTCTCTCTCTCTCTCTCTCTCACACACACACACACACACACACACACACACACACACACACACACATGCTTCTTGAGACCCATGTCTGCTGACTGCTTATGTATTTGTTCTTGGTCAATTTAATAGTCATGGATTGTCCAGTAATATAAATGTTTATGGATATACTTTTAGTGTTAACACTTACAAGTATATATTGCAACTTAAAGTTAGTGGAAGCCACCAGAACTGCAATTTTCTTTTTAAATAAAAGATGATTTTTCTCAGATATATCCCTGTTTAACAAAACAGTTGTTACTCATGATAACCATGGTCTTTTTTTGCCAACCCTCTGCTCCAATAAGTCTCAAATAAAGATGCCAATTTATGAATTAGAAGGTGCAGTATTTTCTGTATGTGATAAACATTTACAAAGAAATGGATATGAAATAGGTTGAAGTGTATTTTTGGAGTAGAGAAAACCTTTTTCATTAGTGTCTTTTACCTTATTATGTTATCATCTTTTTATATTAATTATATTATTTGTGCTTATGTTAATAAATTATTGATGTATAATTAATAATGAATTATCAAATGTTTATGGTTTGTACATTTGTAGGTTTAAAATTAGAATTGGGCTACAGTTGTTACACTTTGTAGACTAAGGTGTTAATTGAGTATATTCCAAGACATATATATATATATATATATATATATATATATATATATATATATTTTACATATACTATCTGTGCTCCTCAAGCATGACTGGTCAGAAAGAATTTGTATCCTCTCTAACCATTGTCACATAAGGTCACAAGCCACCATGTCTTTGCTGAGAATCAAACCCAGGTAGTTCCAAAAGCAAAATGTACTCTTGACCATTGAGCTATATTTCTATCATTCATGCTGAACCTTTTATAAACAGAATACCACTGTGCAGGTACTGCAAATGCCTATTGGTGAGAAAATGAGATGTTTGGATCTGGTAATTGGGATGAATTCATTCCTTTTCTAGATTTAGATTTTAGGAGCAAACTATTGTAACTATTATAAGTGTGACTTATACAGTCATATTCATGGAAAAGTTATAGGATGGTCTCAGGCTCTAGCTCATAAATAATTTCCATACATACATGCATGTGTCTATATATGTGGAATATATGCATGAACATGAAAATACAATTGGACACTCTTTTTCTCACAACAATCTGATTCCGTGTAGTTGTATTTTATTTCTGTATCACAAGGCGATTTAAAGTATGAATGTAATTAATTCAATAATAAATTGATCTCAGTCACCAGGTAAAATTAGTAACATAGGCACCAAGTTATTAAGGGTAAGTTAATTTCACTAAGACTCTTGAGTGAAACTGTGAAAAGTGTGTGTGTTCTGAAGACGTATGGTAACCCTAGGGACCTTGTTTTCTACTACATGGGAATAAATATGTATTGAAACAGAAATATACAAACAGGATCACTATCTGACCATCTTTAGTGAGTTCATGATTGTCACACCATGTTGATAATAGTGTTTGTCTTAGCATCCCAGGTTCTCTCTTATTGTGGAGATATATGTAGTCTATAGAAAGTATAGACACCAGGAAAGTAAAAGAGGATCACTGACCATATAGGGGTAGAGTGGAAGCAAGAGATAGCAGAATCACAGGTTACAAGTAATCTCATCAGTGAACTAGAAAAAAAGCTTCTTCTCAGAGTGTGGATGGGGATAAATACAGAAGAATGAGGTAGATAATATTTCAACATGGAAATCTGAAAACCATAACTGCTCCTTCTATTAACTAATGACACTGTCCCTTCTAAAATAAATGAAAAATACTATTTGTCTTGATAGTTGGTAGTTAGTTCTTTGAACCTGAAGTTTCACAAAAGGTAATGGGATAGAACCTAATGTGGGAGAGATGTAGGGCCATTTGGAACCACAATTAGTGATCATAGGGCGTGGAAAGTAAACTAATGATCTCCAACTGCATCTATATGTTTAATTCAGATTGTGGGAAAGTAAGATTTATTGTAAAAAGGAATATAAAAACAGGTGGATTGAGAAAGATACTTTGCTGATTAAAATAGTGGAATAATAATAAATTATCATGGTGATTGCATTAGAATTATGAATCCAAGCATGGTTAGTTGAAATCTAGAGCATAGTAAAATTATAGAACATGATACTGAATCATATGGCATATTGGCTTACTTTTGAGAATATTTTCCAGATTAATGTATCATTTATTCTCTTGTAGGAATACAATTAACATTCTGTGCTTATCATTACTGTTTAGGTGTTAACTATGAAATGAGGCATATAAATCAACAGGATTGGTTTTCTAAAGCATGAGACTCAGATGTAATACAGGGCAGCAAAGTGAACATCCTGTACAGATATTATTGTGATTATAGTTATTATATATAATTTTCTCTGTATAAAGCAGGTACATGGAAGATAGAAATGTAGGTTATGATATACATTCTGGAAGATCAAGAGTTCAGAGTCAGGATTTTCAAGAATTAGTATGGAAAATAGAACAATAGTATAGCTAGTGTATCAGGAACACAGTGATGTGTGCTCTATTTTTTTTTTCAGACATATGAAATAAACTTCTACTATGGTCTTAAGATGAATACACTCTTCACTTATGTTCTCACTCAAGATTGTTCTTTATTTCCAAGCTGGGCTTGGAGTCCTAGCCAATATATTTCTTGTTTGTTTCTATATTTACATAATCATAGGTCACAGACCTAAGCTCACAGACCTGATCTCCTGTCAACTGACCTTCGTTCACTTAATGATGTTCTTCACTGGAGGGGATATTTGGCTTACAGACTTATTTGAGACACTGAACATTGAGAATGATTTCAAATGTAAGGCAACTTTTTACATAAGCAGAGTAATGAGAGGCCTCTCTATCTGTACCACTTGCCTCCTGAGTGTGTCCCAGGCGGTCACTATCTGCCCTAGCACCTCACTCTTGGCAAAGTTTAAACAAAAACTAAAAAAATACATGATATATGCTTTCTTTTGTATGTGGTCTTTCAATTTGTCCTTCAGTAGTAACCGGATCTTCTATGTTGGTGCTTATACCAATGTGAGTGAGACTAGCCAGATGAAGGTCACTAAATACTATTCACTCTTACTCATGAACTACATCATCAGAGGACTGATTTTAATAGTGACAACTTCCAGAGATGTGTTTCTTATAGGAGTCATGCTAACCACAAGTACATACATGGTGATCATCTTGTTCAGACATCATATGCAATGCAAGCATCTTCATAGTGTCAGCTACGTGAGACCATCCCCTGAGAAAAGGGCCACCCAGACCATCTTGCTGCTGGTGGTTTTCTTTGTGGTCATGTATTGGGTAGACTTCATCATCTCAACGACCTCAGTTCTGTTATGGGTGTATGATCCAGTCATCCTAACTGTTCAGAAGTTTGTGATGAATGCCTATCCCACAATTACTCCATTGGTACAAATCAGTTTTGATAACAGAATAATCATTATGCTAAAAAATCTGCAGTCAAAATGCCACCAAATATGTTTTTAAAAAGATGTTTTCTCTCTTTTTTAAAAAGCTAATAAATAATTTCTTATTTATATGTAAAAGTGTTGTGCCAGACTGCATGCCTTTATGTGTTCCCCTGCCCCCACAAAGGTAAGAAGATAACCTTGAATACCCTGGAACTGGACTTATAGCTGGTCATAAAGAGTTATTTTGTGCAGCCTTACTTATTTTGTTTTCAAAATACAGATTCTTTTTAAAGTTTAATGGTTCAAGTAGCAGAGCAAAATTCTTCACATGAATTAAAATAAAATGTGTGCTGTTATATGTATACACTTTTTGAGGTTTCTTTTGTCAAGATGTAGAGAATTCTTAAGTTACCTGTACACAATAAGTTGATATTTCCACATGAGTTATCTTTTTCCTTTTTAATTTGTATAATAAATATTGCTTTGATACTGAGGTTACTCAAAAGAAGGTCCTCATTGATATTAAAGTTTAAGCTTTCTTTTGTTTGTAATATATATGTTTGTATGTAATATATATATGTTCACTCATCAAAAATAGTTTAAAGATTTTGTTGTAGACTTTGTTGTCTATATTTTCCTCTAATCATAATTTGTGTGGATCTATAAAAAATGTGAATTTTAAGTTTCCATTTTTTATTACAGTTAGTTAATGAGACTTCTTTGAACATGTCATGTGCTTGTTTAATTTTTCTTCATTTTATCTATTTATTGAAATATTGGTGGTGAATAAAATTTTTATACATATTCATCTTTCACAATGTGTATCTATATCCATTTATGTGTGTGTTCACAGCTGAAGGATGTGCATATATGCACACGTGGAGGGCAGGAGATAATATTGGCTGCTGTTCTTAACTGCCATTCATCTGGTGTCTTGTTAGGCTATCTCTCTCTGTGATGTGTACCAATATAATATTCTCAGGATTTCTCCTGTCTCTATTTCTCCAGTTTGCATTCACCACCATGTTCATCATTTCAACATTATGCTTTTATTTTATTGAAAAAAAACTTTTTCTCATAATATATTATGACTAGAGTTTCCAGTTCCCCTACTCCTCTTAGTTTGATACTCTTGCCTCAGTCCCCAGCATCCTTCCCCTCCTTCCCTTACTCTATACCAAACTTTTTTGATTATGTTGATTATGGCTTGATTATGAATGACTTAATAGTTAAAATTTATATAAATTAATAACATGCACCACATGCGTTTTTTTAAGTCTGTGTTACATAACTCAGAATGGGGTGTTGCTGTTGTATCCTTTTAGCTGCAAATGCCATAAATGTAATGTTCTATTATGGAAATATATCACATTTTCTTTGCTCATTCATCTGTTAATGGACATCTTGGATGCTGCCAATTTCTGGATATTATTAATATTCAGTGCCTCTGTAGTAGGAAATCTCCTCTGGGTATATTTTTTTTATTGGCTATTATATTAATTTAGATTTCAAATGTTATTCCTCTTTCTAGTTTCCATTCCACAACCCCCCTTTCCCATCCTGTTGTCTCCCGCCCTTGTAAGGGTGTTCTCACTCCCACCTCAGCACTCTATCACTCCTTTATGCTTGGACATCAAGCCACAAGAAGCCCAAGGGCTTCTCCTCTCACTGATGCCAAATAAGGAAATCCTCTGCTAAATATGCAGCTGATGGCATAGGTCCCTCCATATGTACTCTTTGTTTGGTGGTTTAGTCCCTGAGATCTCTGAGATGTCTTGTTGGTTGATATTGTTGTTCTTCCTATGGGGTTGCAAACCCCTTCAGCTCCTTAAGTCCTTGCCCTAACTCCTCCATTGGGGTCCTCAAGCTCAGTTCTATGTTTGGCTGCATGCATCAGCATCTGTATTGATCATCCTCTGGGAGATCCTCCTAGGGGACAGCTATACCAGGCTCCTAATAGCACATGTTTCTTGGTATCAGCAATAGTGTCTGGGCCTGGTGTCTGCAAATGAGATGGATCTCTAGGTGGAGAAGTCTCTGGATGGCCTTTCCTTCAGTCTCTACTCCAGTTTTTGTCTCTACATTTCCTTTTGACAGGAGGGATTCTGGATTATTAATTTTGAGGTGGGTGGTAAATGAAAAGTGAGATATAACAACAAAAATTGAAGAAATTAAAAAAATTATCAGATCATACTACAAGAGCTTATACTCAACAATAATGGGAGATATAGATCAAACAGATGGCTTTTTAGACAGATACTAGGTACCAAGGTTTAAATTAGGATCATATAAATCATCTACACCCTCTCCAAAACCCTAAAGAAATAGAAGTAGTCATTAAAAGTCTCCTAAGCAAAATGTGTCCTTGACCAGACAGTCTTTGTGCAGAAATCTATCAGATTTTTAAGGGAGACTTAATACCAATACTTCTAAAGCTATTAAACAAAATAGAAACAGAAGGAACACTACCCTATACATTCTATGAAGCCACAGTTACATTGATACTTAAACCACACAAAGACCCAATAAAGAAAGAGAATTTCAGACCAATTTTCCTCATGAATATTGATGTAGAAATACTCAATAAAGTTCTTGAAAACCAAATCCAAGAACACATCAAAACTGATCATTAACCATGATCAAGTAGGCTTCATCCCAGGGATGCAGGAATGGTTTAATGTAAGGAAATCCATCAACATAATCCACTATACAAAGAAATTCAAAGAAAAAAAACACATAATCATCTCATTAGATGCTGAAAAAGCCTTTGAGAAAACACAACACCCATTTACATTAAAAGTATTTGAGAGATCAGGAATTCAGGGTCCATACCTAAAAATAATAAAAACAATATACAATGAACCAATAGCTAGCATCAAACTAAATGAAGAGAAACCAGAAAGAATCCCATTGAAATCATGGACTAGACAAGGCTGCCCACTCTCTTCCTACTTATTCAATATAGTACTAGAATTCCCAGTGAGAACAATTAGAAAACAGATGGAGGCCAAATATCAGATTCCTGTCAGAAGCCCAATTTTCTGTTCTTGGCCCATGTCAGATTCCTGCCAAGCCGCCCCAAAAGCTCTCTGTGTCTCCCCCTTTTTTTATTCCATAAACAAGACAGAGCCTTTCTTAGGTCATTCTGACAAGAATGCCTTCCTTATCAATCATGGAATATGCATTATCCAAAGCAATGCACTTCTGTTTTAGTTTGGTAAAGCTCTGTGCAGAATCTTATTCTTCCTTGGCTTGCCAGATTGTTAATTTAATAACTCTGTCTGGGGGTCCATTTTCAGTTTCAAGCCATGTACTTTGGCTGCCAAAATGTAGATATTGTTAAAGACAAGCTTTAACATGATGAGCAGAAATGAAAGTATTCCAAGGACTTTTTAAAAGGGCTAGCATGATAAAGCTATAGATGCCATTTTTGATGCTTGACCAAAATAGAAATACTGACCTGAGGCCATGGGTAATTTTATCAGCAGTTCCTGCAGCATCAAAGCTCAGCCGAACAGCATTCTTTAAATTCATAAGCTTACTATGTAATGTTAAAATACTTACAGAGTTAATAGAATTAGGCCAAATACTCTTCAAGTGTCTTTAAACTTCTTCCTTATTCTAATGACTACCACTGTAAATTTTAGAACTAAGAAGAATCCAATGGTATTTGGCATGACACTCAAGATGGCACCTTACTCTTAAATTCTGAACCTCCTTCTATTCATTTGAATAGGATAAAGAGCATTAATCCATTGTTCCAAATGCCTATCTAAATCCTCTTGTATACTCAACACATTACTAACATTTTTTGGCTAAATGATTAGCAAAAGTAGCTGTCTTAACTTCTTGTGTCAAAGCAATTGCAGAAGCCATGGTGCTAGCAATTAATGTAATTAAAGCTGTTATACCAGCAACAATCAAGCCCACTACCCTCTTGTTTCTATTAAAGCCTGACTCACATCTTCCAGTATTTCCAAGCTTTTTTTTTTTCAGAAGAACAAGGTTCTGTAATACTCAGGGAAATAAAACAAAAGCTGGTTGATTGACCTCTGTAACTGACATGCTGGATTTCAACACACTAACTCAATTAGAAAGTGTATAATCAATGCAACATACGTTAAATACTGTAGAAGAAACAAAAGCAATTTTACCTTGACAATTAAAGGAGCCTAAAGGAACACATGTCCTAACACTTGTTAGAAATACAGATCCTGCCCCAACTTTATCACTTGCTAACATAACATCATAGAGAACTGCAGCTAACTTCCAAATATGTCTCTGAAAATGTCCAGAACCATACTTCCAAATGAAGACTGTTATTTCTAATGTTGGATTGATTTCTAGACCAGTCCATGATTAGACTTAAGAACTAGTCATAGTTAAGAAAAATACAAGAATTATTACAACTTCTCCTTTTGAATCTCTGTTCCACCAGGTCTAAAATTTTGAGGGAAGGCAACTTGTCCCATAAGGTGTATAGGTAAGCAAAGGTCAGTTGAGAACATATGCCCAATCATCAAACCCAGTCACCATTGCCAGGGTACTCAGAAAGCTCACAGGTCAGCATCATTCTTTCTCCTGACATCAGAATGTCTCACCCGTTGCTCTGGTAGCCACCACTCTGCTTCAAAATCCTGCAGGAAAAAAACACAAAGATGCCCTCTAAAATACTGGGTGTGATAGAGCTCCTGGGAGCCGCCTCTGTGTCTGGGGGACTGTGTGCAAAGCTGGTGCTGTAGGACTGCTCTGAGAACAGGCACAGACTAGAAGGCCCCATGCCACTGGCCATGAGCATGATTTTCTTTTGTAGTTTTTTCTATTTTATTAATCTCAAACTAGAGTGAATTTGTTTGTTTATTTATTTATTATCATTTACTGTTTGTGGGTATGATTTCAGGTATTTCTTCTAGAGCTTTCAGGTGTTTTTGTAAGTCAATAATATAAAATATCTCCAATATTTTACATAGGCACATGGTGGTATGATCTTTCCTCTTAGCCCTTTTCATTTTGTCTCCTAAATTTATGTTGTGGTATCATTTTTATTCAACCAGAGAAAGTTTTAATTTTTTGAAA